AAGTAGAGGTAAATTTTTGGGGCCGGAGCTGGTCGTATCTTGAAAAATTCGTAAGTAGGGGGGTTCGTAAGTAGAGGTACCACTGTACAAACATCAGACTTAATTTCAAATTAAGCATGTCTCTGGTTCTTAAGACCGTAAAAACACTGGTGTTTGGACTAAGGTGTATATAGCTCCTAATAACAACACAGAGTTAAGAGTATAATTTCAATTCTTTTTAAAACAAGGAATATTTCCTGCTCTAATAAAAGAGTTTAACCATAGTGTTTGTAGAAATTAAGCCACTAGAAGACAGCTAAATAGCCCAAGATCCCTTCTTCTGGAATTCAGCTTTCTTTTACTCTATAACCCAGGGCCCGTTGTATTCCATCCTGGCAGAGTTTTCCAACAGTATGGAAGAAATGAAGTTATTAGGAGAGGGATAAGGTTTCAAAGTGATGGTTTAATGTTACAGGAGAGGTTCCTATTGGAACTATTGCTCCTACCTCCCCCGAGACTTCTAACACATCAGAGCTATTGTACTTAGAGAAATAAGTGTGACAAGAATTAGCCATAAATCCAATTCTCATGCACCTTGATTAAGGAGCATTGCCTTCTGTGCCTTGGATGTCCTACCTGAAAGTATACAGCTAGGATTCAATGCACACCAGTCAATGCTAGAGAGCCATGTATCCCTAGTATATATTGCAACATTAGTCTGTGCTCATCCTTAGCCAAACAAGATGTGAGATGCTGTTGCCATGGGAAAGGAGGGTACCAAGACACTGCAAAAGGACAGTGAGAATGGCTTCTCATTTCCACTTATGTCCAGCCACAGTGGCAAATATATATGGAAACACTGTGAGAATTTGACAGATGACTTAATAGGTGGAATTTCTCTTGCATATGGAACTCCACTTTGTGCAGGAGTTTCTGCTAGACAGTGATCCTGGCCACTATTGCAAAGCACTTTCATTTAAACAAGGTATTTGATGAATGTATTTTAATTACTTGAAACCCTATATCAATCACCCTCTCCATTCTTATTTTCATAAAGAATGTGTGTGGTGTGTGTTGTTTTTTTTTTAATCTCATTAAAATGGTTCACACTAAACATTTTTATGAAATTGCATTATTTCTTTTTTCAAATCATGGCAATATAAGCACGGGCTCTATGACCTTGTTAAAAAATAAGTCACCCTATAACTGTAAAGAGTGTAATTAGAAAAAAGAAAAAAGAAGCACTGGCTTCCTGCAGTGGAAAGGATGGTGGGATAGATTATTCTTTTTGAAACCAAAACCCTTCCCCACATGTGCCCTGAAGTTTAGGAAATTCTCTAGAGCAGATTAGGGGATTACACGGGAACACAGGGGAAGACCAGCAAGGAGAGGGAGATAGTATGGCACAAGTGGAAGTAATGTTATATGTAACCCAAGATCTTTACAGATTCTGCTATAGATTTGCCTCATGTGGTTTGGGCTATATAAACTTTTAATTTTCAGATGATATTTCTTGAAAGCATCTTTCAAAAAAAAAAAAGTGCACCAGTAAAAAAATAAAATAAAAAGACTTCTGTCTAGACTTTAAAACACACAGAACTCACACATTTATTTTGTAAGGCTTAGACAAAGATACTCAGAGATGTTCAGTAGGGGAATCTAATCAAGGTAAAGCAAGTATCTGTAAGGAATGCCAAGGTTCTGTGTATGTTTATGGCTTTTGTATATGTGTGTGTATTTTTAGTTGGATTTGTGCTGCATTACAATTCCACTAGACTGTTACTGTTTTGTCTGTAACTGTGTTAACATTTCTTAACAATGTTATTAATGGAATTGTCTTCAATTGTAGTGAACAATTTTAAAGAGAAAGTCAACTGTGATTGTATTAAGGTGTGAAAGTCTGATGGAATAAAGGTAGTAACCAAGATGGCATTGAACTCCCTACATCCCCTATTCTGCACTTTAGGCTCTTACGAAGATGCTGTAACTCACAGCCAAGCAAATCTGTTGAATTCTAAATGCCTGTTCTAGAATTTAAAACAACAACAACAAACTGTAGCTTGTTGTAAGTCTTTGCTTTTATAGTGGATCTATACTTTAAAGCAGAGATTAGCAAGGAAGCACAGCTGGGATACATTTTTTCAGCCTTTAAAGGCCACAAAGGAAAGTGGCAATGATGGTGAAATGTCAATCAGAGGGAGACATTACATTTTGGATCTCTTTAAAAAAAAGGGGGGGGTCTAAAAAGTTGGGTTTTTTTTTACAGAAATATGTAAATTAAACTCAATGGAAATATTGTGAGCCTATATTCTATGCTTGCTTGGGCAAAAAAGGTTAAATCCACCAAAAAATGGTGCAGTGAGGGGCTATGGAGGCTGCAAGAATGGGGCTGGGAATTTGCATATGGCAGGTTGCCCATCCTGGTTAGCAATCTCATTCCTTCTTTCAGTGTCATTGGGCCAAAGGTTGCACTTGTAGTCCTATGTTCATACAATGCAAAAGAAATTAATTTGGTTCTTGGCACCCGGAGAACAAATTCAGAACCCAGTGCAGAGACCTATACATGACCTGTCTTGAGGACAGGCAGATAAAATCTGGATTAACATCCTAAACAGGTGACCAATGCCATTCAAATCAGTGCTAACCTTTTTAGTGGCAGGCGCACAGCCTCTAACTTGTGAGAGAAATTGCAGAAATGATACATTTTGGCATATATGGACTCCAGTCCAATATCCTACAGACTGCCTTTGGTAGGTCAGGGTAATAAACATAATTTCTACTCTGCAGAAAGTAACATGGGGAAAAAACAGCTGGGTCTACAACATCCCCTCAATAAGGAATGGTTTCTGTACTGAGTTCCATCCTGACAAACTTCTAATACTGCTAGCACCACTTCATTGCACTGATGAAACAATTTGAGCTGCTGGTCATTATAGACTTATAAAATGTACCTCTGTTTATTAGTGCTTTTCTTTTTAAAATGCAAGGAAGTGAATATTTATTTGATTCACTATTAATGTATGTATTATACTTTACAGTGCATAAAATGTCCTTATGTTCAAATTTAGTAATTTATGTTCATTGTTCTTCTCTTTGAAATGATTGCATTATTTATCTTTCTTTGTTTATTTCTGTAAACTAGTTAATTATATGATTCTGGAAGGTGTCTGTTTTTAACAACTATGGGCACAATTTGCTGAAAAAGAATTCCTGCAAGACCCACTTAAATGAATAACTGGATTACCCTGTTATAGCTATAGATCTTGTCCTGATACAGCCATAGAGAAACTTGATCATCTTCAGAATTATGGCTAATAGAAAATGAAAACCTTCACTGGTACCAATGGAAGATTCCTTTGAAGTAAAAATGGCTGC